ATTTTTAAATAAGTTTATGAACATGAAATTGATGTAATAATAATAAGAATGCATAGATGTTGTAAACTCTTTTATTGGGTTTGGGTTTATGGTCTTACGGCTAACGAATAGATAGTTAATGGTTCTAGTGTTTTTATTTTTTATTTATATGTTTCACAAACCTTAAAGCCTACAACCTTACAATAAAATCTTAGACATTCCTTAAAACTAAAATGCATAACGATCCATCCATGATTAAGGACTGGTATACCCTGAATCTGTGGATGGATCATCGAGATCCCATACGAGATTGTCAATCCGAACTGCTTCTGGAATGTCAACCTCGAGTGGTTCGTCAAGAGGAGCAAGGTTGTTATGGAGATCTTCAATCTCCAATTCACCTTCCGACTCACTCTCTGACGAAGGTGCCTCCTCCGCATCTTCAGCCTCAGTTTCCTCGTCAGACTCGATGTCGGCTACGTCTGCTAACAGAGCATTACCGACATCGGGTGCAACACCTTCCGCATTGAATAAAATCAATGTGGATTCTGTGCTGTCAAAACTGAGCGGACTAGCCCAGCCATCTTCATGGAAGACATACAGATCATCTTGATCGCGACCATCCATGACGATGACTGAGACGCGAAGGAATGGAAAGGAGACCAGAGTGAATAGATATAGATGCTCCCCTCCTCCGTTGCCAGATGGTGGAAAATCGAGGTCGCGAAACTATAATTATGGGATGTTGTGAAATGTAAAATCGAGCATAAACGATTATGGGGTAATAAATTTTGACTGTTAATTAAAAGGCAGATGGTAGATATCGCGAAGGTAGAAAGTCGTGAAAGGTGGGTAGGAGGGACATGTATTTATATCAGTGTCGATGGTGCACACCGTCACTGCAGTCTAAACGCTCCATATTGGACGCATCATAAAATAGTATATTATAAAATTGTTTTCTGTGTTAGGTTGCCAAAATGTGCTCAAGAGAGTGTCTGTGTGCGCCTGGAAAGTCAGCGCCCAATTCTAGAAAAACTGTTGAAGCCCCAAGTTGTACGTATACTACAAAATGTTCAGGTTGTGCCACCACTTGAAACCGTTCGCGCTTCGATGCCTAGTACTTCGGCGAATGATGTATCCGTGGAAATTGTTAGCATGGGCTCGCAAACCATGCTTAACAATTTTATCGCCGACGGACAAAATGTGTCGAACGATGATGGCGACATCAACATTGAGGCATTGTTAGCATCCCTCAATCCGGACCTGGACAGTGCAACAATGATGGATGCGTACAATGCTTGGCCATCATTGGAACTGAGTTTGTTGGGAGCGGAGTCGAGGCCGTCCACGTCCAGAGCCACTTCGACACCCCAAGAGTCGTTGATGTCTGCCGCGGTCGCGAGTGAACGGTATGGTGCGGACGAGGAACTATATCGCCACACGTGGATCGAAGATTTGCCGTTCACGCAACTTGAACGGGCCGCGTGTGCGCGCGACGTCGAGTTGAGAGAACCGTTGGCACAACTTCAACAGATCGCGATGGAACTCAATCGGGATACGTGGATTGAAGATTTGCCGTTCACGCAACTTGAACGGGCCGCGTGTGCGCGCGACGTCGAGTTGAGAGAACCGTTGGCACAACTTCAACAGATCGCGATGGAACTAAATCGGGATACGTGGATCGAAGAATTGCCGCTCACGCAACTCGAACGGGCTGCGAATGAGGAGGGGGCTAGACAGTGAAGGGACAGTTAAGTTAAGAGGGATGAACTGGTTTCGCAATGGGCATCAACTACAGAATGTGCATATTGAGGCGCTGGATCTGCTGATGTTAAGGTACTACATACCGGTAGACATGTAGAGGTGTGACAAAAAAAACATGCAAAGGGTTCAAAACAACGTACAGCAGCTAAAATATTTTTTTGTTTCAGATGCGACATAAGCAGATCCAGAAGATGGTGTGGTGGCTGCCGCCTCCCCGTGGCCACACTGGATAACGCTAAGCGCAGCCGAATATATATATATATATATATATATATATATATATATAATGATTTTGTTGCAGGAACAGAGTAAATACGTACACGCTTCACGATGTTCCAATGTCTAAAGTGCGAAAGGACCTTCACGGCGAGAAAAAATTTGTTGAAGCACGGTAGAGAGCGGTGCAGCCAAGATGGTGAGCCAGCATCGAAGCGCATCTGTCTTCGAGATGGAACAGGTATTGAACAATTAGAAAATAAAATCGAATAAAATCACTAACAGAATTATCTGTTTCAGCATCCTTTAACCAGGAAGGTGGTACCTCCAGCATTCCCCAATCCCCAAGTCTCGAGGACAGTAATGCATCCTCTTCGCGCCGCACTGCAGACAAGTTGCAATGTTTTCGATGTCAGCACACCTTCTCAGCACGCCATAATTTACTGCGACATCTTAGAGAGGTCTGCATAAGCGAGAAAAGACCTTCCAAGCAACAACGTATGGAGGGTGAGATTACTAACAATGAGCCAACTATTGCAGATTTCATCACCCAGACAGCCGCAGGTGTCAACATTAGACGAGTGAACCCTGCAACACCCCCCGTCGCAGTGCCTGGAACCAGTCGAATGAGTCCTACACCATCCGACGTCGTAGTGCCGGGCGCAAGTCGAGAGAGTTCAACCACCGGCAACGATTCACAAGCGAGTGCGGGTAGCAGGACAATTCGCTGTGAGAGTTGCAGCTGTGAGGTATCGAGGAATGCACATGCGGCACATCTGAAAAGCATTAAACATAAGGCACATCTATGGAGACCTTTACAAAATAATGTGTCAGTATGTCGAAGTGCATTCCGAGGTAGAATAGTTAGTTATCAAATAACCGCTAGCATAGAGACTTTGAACGTTACTGAATATATGAATAATGTGGCACAGGACTCCATAAACGTAATTGAAAATGAGTTGCATAAGCATACAACACTCAAAATAAATATGGAACTTTTTGGTTTATATATTTTACCAGCTAAAAACCGACGAGAGGTAAAGTCCCACAATACGAACAATGTAATAATTACACAATCCTCAAATTTGAATCAAATCTATTATGATCTAGGTAGTAAAATCGAACAAAAATCGAAAGACTTTGCAGAAAAAGACTCAGGGTGGGTGTTGGAAAACATTTTATATTTAGAAATTAATATTAATAAATATAATCCGTTGAGGGCAGCAGCATATTTGCCGCTTCCTAAGGAAATCACGAACAAAAAAGCTGTACTCAACATACGTAACACGGATGAGTACTGCTTTGCATGGTCGATTGTAGCTGGTATGATAAAACCAAAGGGTCGAGCGTCACTAACAACGTCATATCCACATTTTTCGAACATTCCTGGTTTAAACTTTGCAGGAATGGACTTTCCAGTTGCTCTCAAGTCAATATCAGAATTTGAAAGATTGAATAATATGTCAATTAACGTTTATGGAATAGAAAAGGAATTCATTGATGGAAAGTCTAAATATCAGGTGGTAGGACCGTTACATTACACGGCGCAAAAACAACCCACTCATCTGAACTTATTACTTATTGATGATTCAGAAGGTAACCATCATTACTGCTTAATTACCAACTTTTCAAGACTCGTTTCAAGTCAGTTGTCACTTAATACGAGAGTAAAGCATTTTTGTGATGGCTGTTTACAATACTTTGCATCAAAAGACAAACTGGAAATTCACATCCAAAACTATTGCAAACACATTTCAGTTAAGCTGCCCCAACTGGAAACCAGAGTTGATCGCCTTGGAAACACGGTAATGGATAATGTGCTGAAATTTGAACAGCATCACAAACAATTAAGACTACCGTTTTGCGTTTATGCGGACTTTGAATGCATCCTAGCTCCGATAGACAATCACTCAAGTGCTTCAGAGGATGTATGTACCATCAAAAAGTATGAACATAGACCCTCCTCAGTTGCTTATTATATTAAATGTTCTTATAATGATTCACTATCCAAGCTCGAACTGTATAGGGGTGAGGATGCTGCACAAATTTTTGTTACGCGTTTAGAGGCTGATCTTAAATTAATATATGATCAATATTTAAAACAAAATGTAGCGATGAAAATGACGGCGCACGATAAAAATGTGTTTGATAAAGCAGAGGTATGTTTCATTTGTGAACATCCATTTACCAATACAAATAGAAAAGTTAGGGATCACTGTCATTTCACCGGGCAATATCGTGGCGCAGCACATAGCAAATGCAATCTAAACTATAAGATCCCAAAATACATTCCAATATTTTTCCACAACCTCAAAAACTATGATGCACATCTATTCATAAAACACCTCGCTATGAAGCAAGAACAAATTAAAGTGATTCCACAATCTTTTGAAAAATATGTTTCATTTACGAAATTGATACCTGTAGACACGTACATTTCCCACGAGGGAAAATCACAAACTGTATTTTTGCAGATGCGATTTGTCGATTCATATCAGTTTCTATCGTCAAAATTAGAAACCTTGGCATCCTTTTTAAGCGCAGAACAATGTCGGACGGTACGAAAAGTCTTTCCTGAGGACGAAAAGTTCTCCTACATGAGATGCAAAGGTATATTTCCATATACATATCTTAATAGGTTTGATAAATACGATGAAACATGTTTACCATCCCAACAAGACTTTTATGATGAAATACGTGATGAACACATTTCTGACGAGGATTATGAGCGAGCACGTCATGTCTGGGAAGTAATGGGGTGTCAAAATTTGGGGGAATACTCTGATTTTTACTTGACTTCGGATGTTCTTCTTTTAACAGATATCTTTGAAAATTTCAGAGATTTGTGCTTAAAAACGTACAAGCTTGATCCAGCTCACTATTTTACAGCCCCCGGTTTGAGTTGGGATGCGATGCTACGATACAGCAAAGTAGAGTTACAGCTGCTTACAGATGTTGATATGATTCATTTTTTAAAAAGGGAATTCGGGGGGGAGTCAGTACATGTACCTCACGTAAAGTTGAGGCGAACAATAAATTTCTACCACATTACGATCCGTCAAAGGCATCATCGTATTTAGTTTACCTTGATGCAACAAATTTGTACGGTTATACGATGCAACAGTACCTACCAACTGGTAATTTTGCATGGTTAACACGAGATGAGATGGATAGGATTCAAGAGACAATTACACAGATTTCGGATACATCGGATATTGGGTATGCATTAGAAGTCGATTTAACCATACCGACTGAGCTACATGATTATTTCAACGATTTACCATTTTGTCCAGAAAATTTTAAACCACCCGACAGTCAAAGCTCAAAATTAATTCCAAATTTGCACAACAAAGAACGCTACATTATCCATTATCGTAATCTAAAGCAATGTTTGAAACATGGTATTATTTTAACAAAAATTCATAGAGGCATTAAATTCACACAATCTGCCTGGTTGAAGTCCTACATACAGTTAAACACCACACTTAGAAATGCAGCACTGAATCCTTTTGAAAGAGATTTGTTCAAACTAATGATCAATTGTATTTTTGGAAAAACCATTGAAAACATGGAGAACAGAGTCGACATCAAATTAGCTACTCAATTTGAAAAATCTAAACATAAAATAGGTGCTGCAAATTATATTAGTAAACCAACTTTTAAAGAGCACAGAATATTTTCTGAAAACTTAGTAGCCATTCAAATGGAAAAAACAATGATTGATTATTGTCGTCCCACATATGTTGGCTTTTGTATTTTAGATGTCTCAAAAACGGTAATATATGACTTTTTCTATGACTTTCTGAAGCGTCAATATGGTGATAAGGTGTCTGTAGCTTACACGGACACTGATTCGCTAATAGTACATGTTGAAACCGATAATTTCTATGAGGACATGAAATCACACATACATTACTTTGACACATCCAATTATGATGCTTCCAACCCACATAATATGCCTCAAACAGCGTCAGAGTTGGGTAAGATGAAAGACGAATATGCTGGTAAGATACTGTCTGCATTTTATGGTACAGGTCCCAAAGCATACTGTATAGATGCGGTAGACCAAGTAGCTAAACGAGCCAAAGGTATATCTAAGGCGAGTGTAAAAAATCAGTTACATTTGCTACATTATAAGGATATTGTTGAGGAGAAACGGACATCTGTATACTGTACGATTTATGTATTTAAATCGGAGTCGCACAATATCTACACAAATTATATAAAAAAAGTAGCATTGACCAGTACGGATGATAAACGTTTCTTGATACCAAACTCAACAAAGACATTAGCTTGGGGTCATCAAGATATATTATTTCATAACATGTCACATGAGGAGCGCTTGGATACATTACTGCACTTGATGCAAGAAGCCATTGTGTTGAATAATAAGCATCAGATAGCATGATCATAGAATAGGGGTTTGTGGTGGGGACAAGAATATAAATATATTCTTAACAAACGCACCTCATTCAGTTTCAAAGATGAGTACTACGACATACTATTCACTGTACATGCAATTGTGTCATGTAACTGAAGAGGTGTTGAAAAAACAGCTTCGACAATTTGTGACTCGAAATCCAGAAAAACAAGAATTTCCAGTGCTGGACTTTGTGCTAGAGGAAATTACAATACCTGACGAAGTATTCAATTGGATTACCAATGCCCACAGTTGCCATCCCCACGTGCTTTCCAGTGTAATAACAAAAAAGAAACATCTAGATTGGGTGGTACAGGAAACACTGCAAAGTTTAAAAGAGAGAGATTATGAGGTTTTAAGCATCAAAGAATTTGGAGACCTACTGGATAATATGCCCTACACACCATCAGCATATGAACAATATTATTTATGTAAGTTGTTATCTGATAGTAACTATGAAGATGTAGATAAACCGCATCCTGTAGAAAATATTACGAAGAGGTATAAAGACATTGTATCACATATCGATGAAAGCATCTGTAAAATCGCATATCTAGCTGATTGTGTATCACTAGAACGTTTAATCGATATTATACAGCAGCATGATATTAAATTTGTATTTGATGTAGAAAATAAGATGAGACATTATACTGTATTGAAATGGATAAAGAAAAATATAGCCAAGGGTAACATTGGAGATGAAACCCTCGGATGGACCTCTGGACCCTGTAGTGTGAAATGGCCATCCACCAAATTCGAAGATTATGTAGCATGTTTAAAGATCTTGTGTGATTTATCCAAAACGTAAATACTCTGTGTGTGACAAAATTCATTAATATATATATATCTATGTCAGCATGAACGGTAGTATCATTTTCCCTTGCACTTGCGTCAACTTTTGGGAGGGGGAAGTTGGTGAATGGAGGGGTGATCAACACTGTATAAAGTTAGCCACGAAGCTTCATATACCAGTCTTCTGAATTTCACATAACGTTACAACATGAGTGCCGGTGTGCAAAACGACAAGGGGGTACGATCTGTACAAAGTGGGGTAGATCAGACACCGTTAATTGTCATCCAGGAGCAACGATATCATCTAAATCCATCGAAATCAAAATGGATAAGCATTGGTCGAGCATATCAGTGGAGCTTCCACCCTGTAATCAATATCAGTGGTTTGAAAAACAATGGCGTTACGTTAAATGAAGAAGACTGGTATGAGATATTAAATCAAGAAGGCGTTATAACCAATTTTTTCTTCAGTGATGATATTTTCCATTCGATCAGTGCCAACTCCGTCTGTATCACCTTTGAGAGATTTCCAGATTTTCAAACAATCAAAATTGAAGATCGATGGAGAAACGTCGTTTATTTGGGTAAGGAGACCGTATTGAAGCTATTTCAATTAGCCCCGCTGATTGCCTACACCATTAATATGCTGAAAACTCAGGAGTTTAATAAGTATTTCAACACACTTGTCCAAGATGTGCGAACCACCAACATGGATGTGCGAGACTTCGTGATCCAACACATCTCTGATTTGCCGCATTCGGAGAACATCAGGACTGCTATGGAACTGGCATACCAACATCCAAACTTGAAGGAATTCAACAAGGCTCCAACGCTGAAATTTTATTCAGACTATCCTAACTATTCTGTAAAGTCATTGTAATTAAAAAGAATTTTAAATTACTTATCGTGTTTTATTGAAAAAGCTGTGTTATAAAACTGATTGGTTTAAATAATATACATGTCATGCAAGTAAATCACTTTTTCTAATCCACGAATTATGTCTGTTATCCAGTCCTAAGTACTTGACTAACACTTTATTTTTTTACGTCGCACCACTTTCTCTACAAGATAGATATTTGGATACTTGACTTTTTGAAGCTCCTCAGCGTAAAATCCACCTAGAATCTCGTCACCGCTCGAATCAGCCAGTAAGTATGATGTGGGATTGGTATACTGTATTTTACGGATTGTGAAAATTTCATTGGACCAGTTAGGAGTGTATCCTTTAGCAAATGCTGTCCTATGTTTGCTTATGCGGACATGATCTCCACGTTGATATTTTACACCCTTTGGATCTAACGTTTTCAAATGTGTGTATGCCGTTCTCAACAGTGTTTTTGCTGTACTTTTGTTCACGTCTTTGGGTTTCATCCCAATTGTGCTGTGTTTGGTGTTATTATATGCATCAACGATTGATGATAGGAGATCTAACCATTTATACGATCCCTGAAAGCTGAACTGCTTCCACATACGATTCTTCAAAGTGCGATTCACCCTTTCAACTACACTTGCTTTGGTCGCTGAGTAGGAGCTGTAATGATTAATTTTGTACGCTTCCATTAACTTCTTAAAGTCACTATTGTAGAATTCTTTACCCAGGTCTGTTTGTAAATTTTTCGGAATTGTCTGCATTTGCGATAAAATTGTACTCATTGCAGCTGTCACATCTTTTCCAGTTTTTCGTTTGACTGGTTCTGCCCACACAAATTTACTAAAAACGTTGATGACAATTAAAATGTAACGGAATCCTTTGTTAACTTTCTGATACGGAAGCATTTCCACCAAATCTGCCTGTAGGAGATCGTTGATACCCTTCACAATAACGCGTCGACGTCTATAATTTCTGCGAGCCGGTTTATGAAGTTCCTCAATGACCTGCTTTTTAAAGTCCATCATTCTTGTATGATTGGACAGCGCATCACGATATTACCTATAAGGTCAGGTTTTGGTTCATGAGATGAATAGAAGTTCAGAATATCCCCTTTCGACAGGTGTGTGTCGACTTTGACATCACTTTGACCACATTTCACTCTTATTTTGGGAGGTATATTTATACTATCAACTATCCCGGTCACAGGAACGATATAGTCCCTACTATTTTCACCAAATGTGTAAAATAATGCGCTGAATGTGTTGGAATAAATGGGTACCACACATACGCTGAATAGTTTAGATGCTAGAAAAGCACTGAAGATTGAAGATATGTCCCTCCTTTTTGAATGGAGCATATGTCTTCCAAATTTATCAATTGGCATCTTGATCGTACAACTGCAGCAACGAAAATAGAGTAATATTACGTTACAACTTCATTTTATAATTTTTAATTCGCGCAACTCCTCAATTATAGACATGATTTCATTATTATGCCCGTTATTACCAGCATACGCAGATGCGATGAGCAAGCGCAATCGATTGACCAACTCATTGGGATCATCAAAATACACATACTCAATTGGTTTCGGGGAATACTCTAATATACCACCCCTTACATGTTTGAATGATTGTGATCTGGGTCGAGCTTTAGGAGGTGCCGGTTTCTGAAAAGACCCCGTTTTGCTTGCACCCTCAGCGGATACTTTTATTAGATTGTGTTTTACTAAATATGGTCGAATTATTGTTTTATACTTGAAAGTGTTTACTCCTTGAATTTGTAAATTAGAATCAAAATTACGTCGATATGCATTGGTCCGTTTTAGCATATCCATGTAGTGCTCCAGATCGGTCTGTTTATATCCACGAGGGTCTTTCTTGAACAACAACTCGTACAGACCTGGCGTTCCTGGATATCTGATATTGTCTAAAATTAGATCCGACTCCTCGAGGGTTATTGGGGTATTCCCCAATTTTAATTTTTCGCCGATCCAATCGTGTGTTATACCGTGATATCGATCAAAATTCTCTTCATCCCCCCGTATAGACTCATCGATATATTGACGAGGTAATGGATGGAACTGTTCTAAATAACTTTGATAACCAGGTGTTTTGCTTAGGCGCCGAAACTCTTCCCGTGTGTGAGCAATCATTTGCTCGTCAACATCACGTTCTCGTTCTAGTACTGTAGCATCGGGACGTGATTCTTCTATCCCGGAAACGTCTTGTAAAATAGAGTGCTCGGGAAGGTTAGAGAATGTGTCTTCAAGGAAACTTGTAGTAGTGGGGAGGTATCTATTGTATATATTTGTCGGTGTTAATTTCTGTGAAAGTGGTGATTTCTGAGGTGTTGATGTTTTAGATTCTAATTTCCAGTTCTCTGGTTTTACTTTGACTGGCTCTACTTTTTCAAGTAACTGCTGCAGCGGTTCCGATATAGGTTTCCACTGCTTTTGCAATTGGGTTTCCGATTGGGCAATATCCGACTTTAATGCTCGATACTTTTCTTTGACTGCTTGTCTGGCTTTCACCAATTCCTTTGCAATTTTTGGATCCATATCACGTATTATGGAGAGGCTGGCGTAACACTGGTACTGCTAATCTTACACGCTCTTTATATACCACACTATAGGTATATATACTTGTCGAAACCTTTCCGATACCTCCCATTATTTTTGGGTGAATCTTTATCAACCACAACAAAACCGTATGGTTCCTGCCAGCACAGTGAGCAAATATCTTTAAACTGTTGAAACGACATATCCAAGCTAATGTGATCATCGTAAATATGCTTCAAATTTAATGCATCCTGTGCTAAAAGTATGAGAAGATTTGCATTATCTCTTAATAACTGCTTGGGAATTGCTGTGTATGTTTGACACAGGTAGAAGCAATCTGTATTTTTGTGTCGCCCAAAACTAAAGTACTGACGCATTATATCCTGATTACATGATGCAACATCATCAAAAATCATAATCGCATTTGATTCGATTTCCGCTGGAGGCTTAATATCATCACCGTTCGTGTACTCGTAATATCCTATCTCTTTTAGAGGTTCTAAAACTGAGCGAAGAAATTGATACTTTGTTTGGTAGGGTGATTTACAAAACAAATAGACATTTTCATATCGTAATCCGTGAGGGTGTATTAATAGGGTGATCATGATATTAGTCTTTCCAGCACCACTATTACCAACAATTAGAGCCCGTTTAGAAGCACCATTGAACACACTTCCATGTTTTCGGAACGTTTTTTCTTGCACTATTCCATCGTAATTATCTACCTGAAGCTTTGGTATCGTCTGCTCAATTCTCATGATGTTGTGTGATTACTAGTAGCCATCCAAATGGACTCCTATATATAGTACCTCCCGCTCTATTCGTAATAAGAGTATATAATGATTGTGCACTCCACCATGACACGTACTTTCCAGCAGACACCGATCGTGCGAGGTCGCGGCCTCATTTCCAACGTAATAGAAAATCTCCCTTTCGAAGCCCACATCCCAGGTTACAATTTCTGTGGCCCGTCAACCAAACTGCAAAAACGTCTTCAACGAGGAGATGTTGGTATAAATCCACTTGACGAATTTTGCAAACAACACGACATTTTCTATTCTCAGCAGAAAGATCTCACTGCGCGTCAACAAGCGGACAAACTTTTGGCTGATCAAGCTATACAGCGAGCCTTCGCATCCGACAGCTCTTTTGGAGAACGAATGGCAGCTTTGGGAGTTGCTGGAGCAATGAAAGCTAAAAAAAAGATGGGTTTTGGCCTGCGAAAACATCGTACACAACAAAGAAAGAAACGTTTGAACAAGATGGGAAAGGGTTTGCGAAAAAAATCACCAAAATCGCAAAGTTCCAAGCGACGTTTGCGGATTCTGCCTCTACCGAAAACAGGTGGCTTTCTACCTTTACTTCTACCTATACTCGGGGCTCTTGGAGCTCTTGGAGGTGGTGCTGCCTCCATTGCAAAAGCTGTCAATGATGCTAAAGCCAATCAGTCACAACTTGCGGAACAGAAGCGTCATAACTTGGCTTTAGAAGCCTCTCGCAAGGTTTCTCCCACGGGAAAGGGTTTTTTTTAGCACCGTACAAAAAAAACTGCTAAGGCACCTACCATCCCATGCGCTTTCCGATATTG